TGACACCACAAACCATCTTGACGGTGATATCAGCGTCGTCTGTAAGTTGTCCTTGTGGCAAGAGTTTAACACGGAAAATGTTATCCCAGTCGGAACTATCTGGCTCGATTGTCAGGTTTAACTCGTCTCCTCCATAAGCACATTCCCATTTTGCATTCTTACGGAGCCAGTCTGGGAGCATCAAACGATGGTAAAGAATTTTGCATCCAGACTGCGGAGACTTTACAGGGGCTGCCATCATAGAATGTCGTTCGGTCACAAGGGAATGAGCTTGATTTGGTCCGTCTTTTGCCAAAGGCTGAGTAAGGCTGTGTGGGAGCAAAGCTATGCAGGTGTGGCTATTTATACATTTACTTACTACATGCTTTTGTGCTCTGTTGATTTTATAGGCTTTGCTTTATCCTATCTAATTAAGACTAAACACGTGTGTTTTTGGTTATATGACCGCACTGCTATGCATGAAATACAGACATAAAAAGTTACACTGGAATACTCGCTACATATAGCAACCGGCGTTCATATTCAGTTGCTTGTGTCATGTAAAAATCTCTATAGCATTCGTGATGGCAGCTTCATACAAATTACCAATGCTATTTAGACATCAGCGATAGTAAACAGTCATCAATTGCGTATCCTTTGTAGCTGGATTAATAGCTAGTAACCGTCATGCTAATGTGATGATAGAATTTGAAAGCATTGGTTCGTACGTGGACAATACTTGAGCTGCTAGCGCTCAATTAAGATTATTGACACTTGACTGCTTGGAAGAGAAGACACGAAACCTTAAGAAGCATTCAGCCAAGCAAGTATCATCTGCAAAGGGGTACTGTTCGAAAATTTCGAAAATTGAAGCAAAAATCAAAAAAGAGACATACTAATCGAGTCATTGCAAATACTAAGAAGAAACTAAATGTTAGTCGTAATTGCGTAATGGACGCTGATAAAATTGATCGAGATGCGAGAGCCAATTACAGCACTTCAATCCACTCAACAAAGATAAATTCATTAGACCCTGTGTAAGAGCATAATTTTGATCAGCGCAAAGTACTGCATGCTTATTTGCATGTGCCTGTGTTATCACCCATGCATGGTGAATATTCGTTAAGCCGGTGGAGGATGAGTGATTGTTTGTTTCCGAAGGATGAAAGTCACGAATAATTATTTATTTAAAAGTTAAATCAGAGCATGATATTTTTTTCAAGTAAAATCGAAGCTGATGTGTATTATCAAAGGCTTGGAGGAGAAAAGCTCAGGAAGGCCAGAAACAAATTAAGCAAGGAATGAATGAATTTTTCAGGAGGTAAAATAGAAAAAAATTTCTTTGTCGTCCTCGTTTTTAAAACAATACAATATAATATATCATTAAAGAATTTATTTAGCTTCTAATTTGCTATTTCAACGCTACAACAATTATTATAGACTTAATAAAAAAGGAGTCTGTAAGCTAATAGTACGCATTATTACAGAACAATCCGTATACAGTATTATCAGTTTGCCGATGATTAACGGGAAAAAAAATGCATCTATCTTGACTTTACGCAGGTGAGTTTTAGTCAAACAAACAAATGAACTCAAGTCATTTCTTTTCATTCAATATTGGGAGAATCTTGGATGATTGTAATTTCCACGTAGTTGATGGTATACCTCTCCACGCTCTTGAACCGGTACAACTCGAAGGTTAGTCCCTTTGACAGTCTAAGCGTATCAGAGTACTGCGCCACCAGTTTGTGCCCGTCATCAATAGCACAGTAAGCAGATCCGAAGAACTCGCTCGGTTTGAAGGTAATCTCAAACTGATCAGGGTTGTTTTTGCTGCTAGTTGTGACGAGGTCTTGAGAAGTAACCACGTTGGTATTTGGGTTTGTCAACCGTTTTCTTCTTGAAGTACCTTCAACAGCTTTGTAAGGCCCTGACTTGGCATAGTCGTGGTTGGGGTCGAGGAGCTGAATCCCTACAGAAAATGAACCATCTGAAATCATGAAAGACATGGGATCGCGTGGTTTCTGTGGCTCAGGAAGAATGACACCACAAACCATCTTGACGGTGATATCAGCGTCGTCTGTAAGTTGTCCTTGTGGCAAGAGTTTAACACGGAAAATGTTATCCCAGTCGGAATTATCTGGCTCGATTGTCAGGTTTAACTCGTCTCCTCCACAAGCGCATTCCCATTTTGCATTCTTACGGAGCCAGTCTGGGAGCATCAAACGATGGTAAAGAATTTTGCATCCAGAAGACTGTGGAAATGCCATCGTAGCAAGTCGTTAACTCACAAGGGAATGAACTTGATTTGGTCCGTCTAGGCTAGGAAAGCTTGTACGAGGGCAAAGCTGGCTCGACTTGACTTATGCCCTTGGATGGATCTATGATATTGAGTAGGGGAGAGGGGATTACAAAATTAAGCTAAGAAGATGCCCCTCTTTAGCAATGGGCACCAAGCTGTGACCACCCACTATAAATTCCATCCGCCACCGATTGTTAGTTCGCTCTATAGTGTTTTTAAGGGTTTGCTTTAGCCTGCGTCACATCCGGGATTTTCTACGTAAATACCGCGGCGTTTAGGAAGAAAATTCCGGATGTGACGCAGGCTAGCTTTGCTTATGCTATCTAAGTAGACATTAGACATAAATTGGTACAGCCATTTTTGGCTATAGCTTATGCCAATATTGATATCCAAAAGACTACTTCGAATTCATACTCGAGTAGAATAAAGTTCATATTCACAGTTGCCTGTGCTAAGATAACATTTTAAGTGGTAAGTTGCCTAGATGGATGGAACCTTCAAGCAAATCATCACCATGCACTGAATGCTATTAAAAGTTTTTTAATTAGAAAGCAGCTATGAACCAGTTTACCAATTGATATATAATTATGCTCTGTAGTTAGTAACCGCCACGCTACAAAATGCTGCAAATGCACTGGTGTGTGGAAAATAATCAGGGTGCTCAACTCCACGCGTGACACTTGACTGCCAGGGCTGAAAGAGAAGACACGAAACCTTATAGAAACTAGCCAAAGCAAGTATTATTGCTGCAAGAGGGATTCCATCATATTATTGACAACAGTACTTTTCGAAAATGCCGAAAATTGAAGCAAAAATCAAAAATACTAGGAAGAAACTTTTATCAGTCGCGATTGCGTGCTGATTAAAGATGCATGCGAACCACTTACAGCACTTCAATCTATTCAACAAAGATGAACTTAGAACCTGTCAATCAGAACTGCGTTTAATTTTGTATGTGAAATATACGTTGTATGTGAAATATACGTTGTATGTGAAATATACGTTGTATGTGAAATATGCGATATTTGCAAAATATACTTTAAGGGTGAAGAAAAAGTCCATACTGTCTGAATCATCGATTTTGTGGTTGACAATATCGATGGGTTAGAGCTAATTTCAAGAGTTAATTCCTAAAATCTTTGTGCGGGATACGTTGGTTTCAATCTAGTTTAGAAACTTCAAAGATAGGCATTGAAGTTTGGTTTGTGTGTGGCAGTACTTCGGGAAGGGCAAGATTTTGATACCCCCTTCCCTATAGTCTAGGCGCCCTGTGTTCATCGTTATTTTTTCCTTTCTTCCTTAGTTTTTATTCCTTTCTTCATCCCTTCCTTCCTTTTATTCTTTTATTCTCCCTCCCTTTCCTTCCTTCCTTTTTTCCTCCCTTCTTCCCTCCTATCATTCATTTCTTTCCTTCCTTCACTATTTCTTACGAGTTTTAACAATACCCTTGGGCTACCTGTGGTTCGTACGTGACATCACACTTTTTTCGCGCCAAATTCATCAACGATTAACCAACACATTCCCGCGGCGGTGTACGGTGTACCAACACGAAACGTTGTTGTAGTTTTATACTCTTAAATTTGCTAAAATGGAGTCCCAACTTCATGTCGAACAGGGTCCTCTAAGAGGGAACATTCTTCATTATATTTTTTCCTTCTTAGACGTGGCAAATAAGCAAATTGTGGCCCAAGTTTGCCGCTACTGGAAGGACATTGCGTATGCCCCAACGCAGTGGCAAGAAATCACTGCTATTCTGCCTTACAGTCCATCGGAATCCTTGATAATAGGCCTCAAAAACCGCCAGGTTACTCGCGTTAGCTGTTCTCGGTCGACTGATGAAGAGTTATCTTTTCTGTTTAGCCAAGTACCTGGTCTGACTTACCTCAAGATCGACGATTCAAGACGAATAAGCCATGAACTACTGGAGAAGAATTTGACCGCCCTAACAGGACTTGAACATTTACACATTAGTAATTGTCCTCAAGTAAGTCTGGAAAGACTCTACTTAAATAAATCATTTGCCAAGGTACTGAAGAAACTAAAGAGTTTGAAATTACCTAGAAAAATTTCTCCAAGCGATTTTGGGAAACTGGTTTCCAAACTGAAGAATCTTGAAGAACTCGATTTGTATTGCATTGGTTTTCTGATGAGGCAATGGAAAAAGCTGTTCAAAAGTTGAAAAATCTAGGAAGCTTGGATCTAAGTTGGTGTATGGATGTTACAGGAGACACAATCGAACTCGTAGCTGATAATCTTCCTAATTTAGAGTCTTTGCACTTTGAACATATTCAGTATTTGAGCCACAGCACTGTCACCTATGTTGCTAAGAATCTTAAAAAGCTCAAGAATCTATCTTTTAGTGGGATACAATCCCAAGGAATGACCTGCCCTTATGGGTTCGGCTACAGGGAAGATGAAGAAGAGGACTCCAACGAGCTGGATATGATGATTAAGGAACTTTGCAAACTGAAAGATCTAGAAAGCCTGAAGTTTGAAGTTTCTGGAGATGAGATCTCTGAATCAGAAATCCTACGTCTTGTTCGAAATTTACCAAAACTGAAGGAGCTGAAAATAAAGGCTATCAGCAAAATAACAGCCAAACATGCAAACCAAATAGCAAACTTTTTGCCTAATCTAAGTGTAAATGATTTGCTGTTTATTCGATTACGTCACTTCGTCAATTACTATTAGCGTAGTATAATGTTTCAGCCTCGTGGCTTTAGATTGAATACTGTACGGGAGGAAAGAGGTATGTACTATGTTATCCTTCTTATTTCCCCCCCTTTTATATCATATATATAGTGTTACATGATCATTTACAATCACCTATACCTGATTACGGAAGAAACCCATTAATATCTTTAGATTCATACTTCAACGTATACAAATTTGTTATGATTTAAAGAACCAAACTTATACAATGTTACCAAAGTTTACGCATGTGATTCTAGCTAAGTAACCCGATTATAGTCGATTATAGTTAGTTATTTATGTCCTTTGTATTATGTTTTAGTTTTTACGTGATCCAACATTATTACAATAAAGAATCGAGTATGGATTACAGTGTTTAAGCCTTTCTCCCCAAGCGGCGTAACCGCGGGTCTAGTTGACAGCAAGGGTGACCCCAAGCCGCTACACTAAGATCATTAGATTTGGAGATGAAAAGGAAGAGCCAAGGAGCTATTTCTCTCATTTCTAAGTTAAAGAACTTGACATCTTTGAGTTTATCTGACTGTAGAATCAACGACAAGGATCTACAAGTGATGTCATCTGGCCTTAATAACTTGAAGTCCCTGACTTTACAGAGCAATCCTGGAATAACAGATTCTGGAATGCAATACATTGCAAATTTCAAATCCCTGACTACTTTATTTCTCAATGGAAAAGTAGGTGATGCTGGTGTTGCAGTGCTTGCAAAGGGTCTTCCACAGCTTCAGAACCTTAGTTTCTTAGGCTGTCGTCAGATTGGTGATGCAGGTGGGTTAAGATAATCATGAAAATGAAGGTTTTTTTTGAGAGGCTGTCCAAATATGGCCAACATATAGGAAATAGCCATCTTATGAAAGGAAAATTGCCCTTGTTTTGCGAGGGTAATATGTTATGACCAGTTGCTAATGATCTTATGGTTCTCTTTCCATGATCAAAATTGAATTTGGAAATGTTGATTGTAATGGAGGGAGGAAAACTGGGGAACCTGGAGAAAGCTCTATAAATACTTGATGGAAGATCTAAAGTTTGAACCTATTTCCACAGCTGTCAAAGGACACAAACTATCTACAGATATAGAGGAGATAACTAGCTAAAAACTACTGTAGTGTGATATAGTATATAGATATAGTATATAGATATAGTAGAACTCACCTCTCTTGCTTTTGTATGCATCTTATATATGTATCAAATTACTAAAGGCTTTCTTTTTTTCATATGCAGGTGCAATAATGATAGGAAAACATCTGAAAAAACTCCAATGCTTGAGTGCACAAAAGACCAAGATTGGTGATGAAGGATTTTCTTTCATGTGCCTTAATCTTCCAAAACTGAGAAGCTTGGATGTATCTTACTGTCCAATAACTAACCAGGGGATTATTGATGGAGCTGTTGGCCTTGGCAACCTTAACTCACTAGAAATAGGAAGTCAGAAAATCTCAAATGATGGATTCCAGAAATCAGCCAAGTTCTTAAAGGGCCTGACCTACCTGAGGATTGTCAATTGTCACCTAATAAACAAGGAAGGAGTGATTTCTATGCTTGAGGACCTTCCTAGTTTGATGTCATTGACATTCTCAGGTTGTGGATACATGTGCATGCAGGAAAGGCTTGTACAGCCACTGTGTGATGCTGCGGGGGTAGATCTCACAGTAATTGATGTGGAATAAACTAATACTAATATTAGAGTCAGCAAAGGGGGCGGCTAGGCAGCCTCATATTTTTTATAACCATCTATGGTCCCTCCCTTATCTTTTTCAAATTTTACAGAAACTTTTTATTGCAGAAACGATTTATTGCATTTCAGTTGCCTCATCCCCTCCATCCTTACATTATTTCTACCACTTACCTGATAACTAAGACTGTAACCAATGAAAGAAACTGCTAACTCTAAACTCTCAATGTATCCCAACAAGGTGCCAGTCTGGTAGGTAATGATGTTGGGTGATTGTCACACCATACTATTTATCTTATCAAACCATATAGATATTATTCATAGCATTTGCTATCATTATAAAGGTATTTTTAGATTCTTATTACAAAAAATATTATAAGAATCCAGAACAAATATATTCTATATATTCTTATTGCTTGATCAAAATCATAATTTTTGAATAATGAACAAACAAAACTGCTGTTAATATGTCAAAGGCAGCTTTCTCATGATCACAAAATTTAAGAAAATAAAATGTAATTCAGAACTTAGTACAATGCTTTTATAAAGCTGCAAACTTTTCCAAAATATTCACCCATATTATTTAGTTAATGTTTCTAGATTTAAACATTGCACCTGTCATTTGCATCCCTGAGAAAAATTACCATCTGCAATATGAAAATGTTTTTCATTTTCCTACTCAAATAATTTATCCCCCCCCCCCCTATTTTCTCCCAGAAAAGTCCCCATTACCTCTGAAGAAAATGGTCTCAATCAATGATAAACGAAATACAAACTATGTCAACAAGACGGTTGCATGGTGGTGGCGACATTTGACGCTCATAATACGAAAATGCTTTGCAAATTTTTTTTTTTTTTAATCCTGATAAGAATGACAACTTATCAAAAGAAAGTGAGCGAGGTAGTGGGAGTCAAATGACGCCATCATGCAAACACCCATTTTAGCATGTGGGTGCCCCCCTCAGGGAAGGCAGTGACAAGTGAAGTGCATTATTTTATACGAATTATGCTATATTCTAAAGAGGTTTCAGTTTATACAATTTTATATTAAAAGTCTTTTTTTTATCTACAGTAAGAAAATAATGGTGTTTTTTTTGCGTGGTGTAAAAGTGGGAACTTGGATTTTTAAATTACCCCCTTGCAGGGCTTCCTGTGTCGTTGCCAATGGGAAAGATGGCTGACGGTGGGCGCAACCAAAACATCGCCTAATACTATTTCGTCCCCGTATGATATTACCAAAGTATCTGGATAGGATACCAGATGTTCAAAGTCGACTATCTGGCTTCTTTGTGAAAGCACTCTAACTATTGCGCCAAAAAAGCCGTGGATTTCCTACCTAAAGCCAGCAAAATGCAGCAGTCACCAATCAGATTGCTGAACGAGCTGTCAATCATGATCACCGTACTGCAAGCGCTTCAGCTCGTCATCATCTTTGATTAAGAAAGAAAAGCAAAATGGCCTCTGTCCTAAACTGCAAACAAAAACGCCTGCATCTCGCATTTTCCACAACTAGATAACCTCAAAGGCAACCCACAGGACAATCAATCAAGGTAGCATCACTTTTCCATTAATCTTCACTAATCTTAACAAGAAAAAAACTGCTAAAACTAAAGACTTCAAATTATACGATTTTAATTGAATCAATTTGATTAATTAGAATTGATCTTAACTCGGTTCGGAATTAATAAGCCTAGTTTTGGCATGAAAAATCAGTCCTTGAACTTTGTTTTACTGCAAGAAGAAACCTTTCTTTGAAGTTAACAAAATCTCTTTCATGGAAGATAGTTTAAGCCTTTGGATTACAAGTTCTGTAAGTTTATTTAGTCTACGAGTTTGGAAAGATGCTAACGAACACGCCGTCCATGATCAACGAGGAAGATTTAGAGACGAGAAAGTTTAAAAATAACATGATTTTAACCCAAGAATATTGACAAAGCAATTTCTATTGAAGATATCGATAATATATAGTTCAATTTTGGTAATATTTGATGAAAGTTTCGTTTAAAAAAATCTTTTTGGTAGAGTCCAACTTTAGAAAGCTTCGCTTTCTTTCCTTGGCGATGAAGAGCATACTTACATTTCTCAAAGAGATGTAAGCTTATTTATGATTTTCTTAGGGAAAGAACACTTTCTTTGATCTTTAAAAACTTTCCCCACCGTTAGATTTCCAAAACAATAGTCATTTAGATTTGGAAGGAAAGAGAAATTTTGTATTCTTGGATTGAAATGGTTTTTTGATTGATTTAATTAACGTTCTCTCAAAACGGCACAGCTGCATGCTGAAGTATTCAGAAAGTAGCCGAACTGATTCAAACTAGTGTTTGAAATAAAATTGTTTTGTTTTAGTAAATATTTCAAGTTGCCGGCTGTTCTTATTTCATACCTATACTGAAGTTGAGCTGTGCATAATGATGTTAAACTTAGTGTTTTTGAAATACTGGAGCGGCGAAAAAGACTTGATATAATTAAGCAATAACAAAGTTTACAACGGATCACGGAGTTTCGCTTTGCATAGTCATTAATTCCAATACTTGTATAGTTTTTTTGTCTTGTTTATTTTAGACTTTCTATATAATTATATAATTATTTCGGTTTCAAGTAAGTAAAGTTAACTTCATAATTTTTTTGCACAGGTACCGACTATGGCCGAGGAAGGAAACATGGAACGAATAGAAATTATCGAAGCAGCTAGCACTCTCATTTCATTGAGACGGCATTTTGAAGAGCGTATTCGATGGCAAAGATCGAGAACCACTCTCTTTACCCCTACTACACAAGTATTCAACCCCTTTAACTATGGACAAATGTGGCCCTTTTATAAGCCCTTCCCATATGACGTCACAGCTTTATCCCTTATGCATCACCATCCCCCCTTCCCCTTTCAAATCTCGCCGTACATGGTTGGTCCGCCAAGGCCGTGGTTTCCGGCCCCGCAAGTCTCTTTTCCAAGTCCTCTTAGAAATAGAGAGAGTCTTGCAGACTCTTTACCTTCAACGCCGATATCCTCGACGCCTCCCAGAACGACGCAAATACCAGTTGCTATGGAAACTGGAGAAGGTTCATTACATGACGAAAATGGTGATAGTGGTAAGAATACGACTCATCTTTTCAGTAAAATCTGTCTCATAACTTTTATTTTATTTTTCATATTTTGTTTAAAACTTGGAATCCTTTCCAGATACCACAGGGAACCCACTTGACGTTAATTCTCTTTGTCGTTTCAGGCGAACAAGACGAGTCTACAACTGCGACAAACGACAAGTACGATCAGAAAAGAAAAAGGCGTAATCTAACAAAAAGACAACAAGAAATCCTAGAGAAGGCCTACTACACGACCAAATATCCGCACATAGAAGAGAGACTTAGACTCGGCAAAGCTACACAGCTCACAGAAGACCGAATACAGATCTGGTTCCAAAACCGACGTGCAAAAGACAGGCGGATGACAGATAGTATAAAATCGCCTCCTCGAAAACCAGCTGAACTTGAAAATAACGAAATCCCGAATCAAGAGGATGAGGCAGTACACGTGAAAGTCGAGGGAGGGGAGGGTGAGGACGATACACAATGCACCCCTGGTGATGATCGTGAATACTGTGGAGAGCCAAGTCCTAAAAGAATCAAACAAGAAAAATAACACACAAAACAACTTTCAAAAACAGAAAGTAACTAATAAGATCCTCTTTAAGTCACATGACCAATGTTGGCCGTATTAGACAAAGGTGGTCACATTTGACCTCCAAAATGGCAGCAAAAGAGAACACGACCCTTTTACATATTACATAAAATCATCACCCATTTGTGTTTGCGAGGTTCGCATTTTAAATACATTTGAAGATTTATAAACTGAGCATTCTATTTCATTAATTTTAATTTTAATAAAAATATTGACACAGCTTCTCGTCTTGAATATTCCATATTGTTTTCATGAGAGCTATCTAATTCAAACACTTTTGCTCATGCTATTACATCTTTTTTCCCCTTGGAATTTCATCAAGTTGAATCTGAGAAAATATCATCGGATATCTTTTCGCGTTAAGCTGCGTTTGTTGTACGTTTAGGAAAACAGGAGATTTTGGAAGAGGAAATACAGTGCTACGCGCAGCAAAAATGCAATATACACCCGACCCCCTTGCTTGTAATATTAACTAATATGTGTGCAAGATTTTCTTTTAGAGGGGTGTGTTGCTGTTGGGTGGTGGCGTGGGGGGTGGGGAAGGGGGGAGAGGGCGGGGGATTCCTAACTCAACCTTGTCAAAATACACACACACCACAATTATTCGGTCAATAGGATGTGGGGTTGAAGGAACGTACTCCACCTGGATCATAGATAAAGTTATAGTTTTTCTTTACGACTGATCCAGAGATCTCAAATATCACTCTAATAACAAATATTTTCATATACATAATATGCACTATAATACAATAAGTAATTGTCAACAAAGGAAAGAACTACACGACCTGACCAGCAAGTCTTGTAAACTATTCAATCGTAGAACATTCTTAGTCACGTGCCAAACCCCTGTGAACCAGCTATCCCATAATAACCTTCGACTCTGCTCCTCTCTTCTTGTTATCTGTGTGCCAGCCAATCAAATTAATTTCCGTCCACCTTGCACGTGACACACCATAGACTAACTTTCAATATATATTTTCTATTTATGTAATATATGTAAATATATAGCTATGAAGAATATTTACATGTTTATCAAACATAAATTTACATTAAATTTACATAAACTTTGATTAATTATTAATTGTTATCCTTTTTAATGGTTTTTAATATTTTCTATCTTGTGTATTTTCTATAATGCTGATGGCCTCCACAATGCACTGCAGATCTCCACTGGTCGGTTCCTTGCTCCTCTTCGCCTCTCTTCCCTCGACGTTCTCCTTATCTGTCTTGTGAGAGGGTCTTGCGCGTTTTTCGTGTCGAGCTGGTTTAACCCCGGTCTGTGTAGACGAGTTGAAGATGTTTCTCTTCGGTGTTTTGACTGGATGGATCCTATGTGGTAGTATATCAACAGACTGATGTGCCATCAATTCTCTAGTCTGTGCTGAAGCCCTTAACGTTGGTGACGCCTTTGCTGTTCCCCCAGACCTACCAACACTTGTAACCACTCTATTTTCATTCAGCGCAGGACTTATTGGTGGTGACAGCGGACTACATTCAAACGCATGCGCATTTGGATATACCTCAATTTGGTTGTGGAAGCCGCTGTTTTTAGGAATTGTGGGCTCATACTTCTTAACGTGTTCAAAGGACCTCCAGTTATTGTCAAAGCTAGGTATTTGTGATTGATTGGGTTTAGACAGTACTGTTGTTTTGTAAGCAATGTTTCTGTGCCCGTCCATGTTGGTTGAGCCGAGCTGTTTGGCTGTTTGTTCGGCCATCCACGGCAAGTCATGTTCCATTGTTTGTTGTGGAGTTGGTTTTGACTCGTAGTGTCTTTTAGGTACCTCATGAGGATGTGTGCTAGTGTGGGTGCTATGTTTTGCGCATGCTAACGTCTGGTTCTTGGTGTCTAGAGTTGAACGCAGCGTGTCATTCTCGGTTTTAAACTGGATCACTGCTCGTTGAAGACGAAGGATGTACTGGGCTGCCTGTTACATCAAACAATTACATCAGTGCCAAGTTCTCTCAGTGTTTGTGTACTCGCAGATCGTTCCGTTCCTCACTTCTCCTTTCTGACAAACTCCACTGTCCCCCCCCCCCCCCCACTATATTACCAACCCCCTTTCTTCTGCTAAATTATCTCCCTCTCCTTGACAAAACACTCCTTTCCCCTCTCCCTAAAGTCAAAGCATGTACACCGTCCCTCCCCACCCACCACACGAAAATAACGTAACAATTCCATTGTCAAAGATGAAGTGTCATATCACCTGCTGAAGAATAGCTGCTTTTGTTTGCTTACGATCTGACGGCGGGAGAAGCTTCTTCAGCGAGGCGAAACCAGAATTGATGTTCTGCATGCGTCTTCTTTCAATCAAATTGGCGTTTAGGCGCTTTGATCTCTCCGAGTCTGACACATAATTCCTGGAAACAGAACCTTGAAACTCAAGAACTAAAACTATAATCGATGATTTTATATTTTAACATTGAAAGTATAATATGCAAGAAAATGGCAACACTTACCGAAATTGAATTCAATCGCATAAAAAGCATTTTTGATTTGCGACAGAAAACTTCATCGAAAATATTTTTAGCTTTTTATAAAGATTGTGATTTTGACTTATCTGAGTTCTTCAAGAAAGATTTTCTCATAGGTCGTAGTTTTTAAAAGTATTGAATAGTTTTCCACTTACGTCTTTTTCTTGATGTTTGTTCTGATTGAACTTGAACTCATCATTGGGTAACTATAAAACATTCAAACTATGCAACCGTTAGACTTGTTCAGCTGTACGGATGAAAAACCTTCATCTGAAGTAATAAAGACTTGTGTTGAACAGAGCAAACACATCGAAGTCCTGTCTGAAACTAATCAGAAATCACATCGCAAATCAACTTTGATGAGGGTAGTTTTAGTCGAAGCGTCTTCGAGGAGTTAGACTGAGCTTAGATTTGACACTGAACTGCTGTTTTGAATCTTTGACAGATGGAGCGAGGAACTCAAATAGTTTTTGCAATCCTCCAGAGAGCTTTGTTCTGTGTCCATCTCGTTATCTTCTATTGTGTGACTTGGTGGGACTCACACAACTACTCAAGTGTACTTAAATCATTCATACGAAACGCACGACAGTTTTATTGCGCATGATCAAGTCACGGATCAACACTTAAAGTTCTCGAATTATACCTAGGAAACGTAAGAAAATTTCAATTATTTTGTCCAATGCGCCAGAACGTCGCGGTCCAACCCTTGATCTTTTGAGAGAGAAATCAAAGACCAATTAACTCAACAAAATGAAATGCGTTGACGTCATTTTCTGCAGAGAGAAAGTTGCGCATTGATTAAACAGCCACATTCAACACTTGATCTTTTGAGAGAGCTATAGAAGACAAATGCGCAATATCAAAATACAACCGCAAAATGGAAAGCGTTTGAAGTCATTAAAAAAAACAACATTCAAAATGTTCTAGATATTTGTCTCACGAAATTACGACCCACTCCTCATTTTTCCCGCCACAACTTTCTGGCTTGCGAGCTGTCGAAGCTATCAGTTTCCTAACAAGGTGTTTCTAATGCAAGTTCCTTGCGTATTATCCGTGATTTTTCGTTTGGCGACTAGAGTTTTTTCAATCAAATTCCACCTTCATTTTTTAACATTTATTTTTCATTGATGCAAGATAAACTGATAATTGCGCGATGTAAAAAAATGTCACTGAATAACTGGCAAATAACCACAGGTAGCCCGCATATCATTAAACAAGTCAAATATATTGTATTATCCACCACCTTTCACGTTCTCTTTAGATGTTCTTACTGATTTAAACTCAAATTTCAAGTAACCGTGGTTTTTCTTCTCTGTTCATGTTCTCCATCATGGCTGGCGTAGTCTTCATGCAGCTCGTGCGCAGCATGAAGTGAGGATCGGATGAGTCTTGTGACGGCTTCGTTCGTTAATTCCGGTCTTTGAAGTGTTTTTTGTTGACTTACTATCTCGCTGGTAACGTCTTCGAACACGGACATCTTGAATGAGCGGTTTACAAGTGGCGACCTGCAACCAGGAATGACGACAACAACATTAGCATCGTAAGACATGGTGTGTTAAGACTGATCTTATTTAGGCCCCGTTGAACTCTGCGCCAATAGAATGAAAAAGAGGAAAAATGGGATTAATTGAGAAAACCAGTTAGGATGATAATAAAAATAATACAATAATAATAGTACATAATCAATAGAAATCATAGTTCAAGTTAGCAACTTTCTTAAGTTCAGAACGATAAATTGAGGTTGAACTATCAAAGATAGAATGAATAGAATAATTTATTTAATGTCAAATAACACAGAAAGTGGTCGCCCAATCTCCCGAGCCAGAGGCTCATGTTAAAAGTGCTTGACAAGAACAACAACAAAAAATGTTTACGAAGATGGCGATCTAATTTAGTTTTGAATTCATTTAAAGAATAAAAAATAAAAATGAGATTGAAAGATAGATTAATGAAGTCGAAAAAATTAAATGTTGAAAGAGAAAAATATACAATAGAATGAAAGAAAACTGACGAAATTTACAGTTGCAAAGACTCAGATTATCGTAATTCTTACTCTAAGCCAGGTTTTATTTATCTAAAAAAACTTTTCTTTAATACTAAACTGTTCGAGTTTTTAAAAAAGAAAAGAAAAATATAATATATTAATCCTATTAAGGAAGCGATGTTTTTGATTAACTTTTTTATCATTTCTTTTTTTCGTTGAGTGGACTGGACCTCTGGTGCGATCGATGACGTCACAGTGACGTCATATCAACATTATCGCCACACCTGCCGCTTGATTAACGATACAGCCGCTCGATTATATATCACTCGAAACACCGATCAAACCACGTTAAAAGCAAAATATCAAAAACGCAACACGGGCTAAATACACAATTAAAAAATGTTATCTCTGTTCTCATAAGCTAATGAATGAAAAAATGAATAAAAAATCTGCTTGTCAAGGCCCCAGACAGCAGAGCCATGCTCCAAACGAAGTGGGAGTATGGTCGAACTGGAGTTTTCAGGGAGAGAGAAAAAACCCTTAGAAGAGAGAAAGACCAAACCTCAGGAGAGATACAACAAATAGCTCTTCTCATGCACGACGACAAGTCCCGTCGAGAATAGCTATAGACCTCCTCGGCTCTGGCGTAATGTTTTCCAATTTTAGACCACGTGTCATTCTCTTGAGAATAAGATTCTTTGTTTGAGTTGTACTCATGTCTCTTCTCATGCGCAACCATTAAAAAAAGAAATGATACTCTAGGGAATGACACATGGTCTGAAATGGGAAAACAATACGTCCGAGGCAAAGAGGTCTATTGACTGCTGTCCATGTAAAATCAGTGACCACGATTCCTTATAAATGTTTTTATCAACCGCGCAACATATTGCAAAATAGGGGGAGGGGAGAGAGGGGGATGTGGTTCGATCAGAAAAGAGACGCCTACCTTGGCACAAAGTTTGTGGGAGAACAAGCACGTGTTGTGATCTGACAGCTTGACAGGGCCGCGTCAGACGATTCGAACCTGTCTACGGAGATCCTTGGATTTACTCGTCGATGGCTCCTTTGTCTCCACAACATCTTTGCGAGGCTACGACGAAACCTTGCAGGAAAAATTAATATGAGGCAGAAATATAGCAAGAAATTGCTTATATTTTTAAGTGTTTCTTTTGTATTGTAATAAACCTCAAGTTTATACGCCTTTTTTCACCCTCCTTTTCTTTCTGCCTTTTTTATTTTTTTATTGCTTTCTTCCCTCTTCCCTTTTTCTTTTCTCTTTTTTCCTTCCTCCTTTTCTCTCTTTCTCCCCTTTCTTTCTTTTCGAAGCTTTTGTGAATACAATATCAGCGCATTGACAAAAGCTAAGAAACGTTCTTCACATGGATGAACTTGCCACTCACTAACAAAACAGCTCTTGGCCAACTGACACATTCACTTACCTCTTGTTCATTAGTGTGAACACCATGGGGCTGTAAACGACAGAAATGCTCACGAACAACCAACACAGCACCGCTAACGAAGCAGGCTTTGTTCTTCTCACAGCAAAAAGAGTACAGAAACCATCGATCCAGTACGGCAACCAGAAGATGAAGAAGAGAGACAAGACCACAGCCGTTAGTTTTCCCGCCGAGATGTAAAGTGCCCGAGTACGAATTTGCTGCATGGTGAATGTAGCGACGTGGTGGGTATCCCGGGATACGTACCGCGATGTCTTGATGCAGTACAAGCAGCACACAACGAGAGGAATAACAAACGAGACAAAGGCTACAACAAAGAGATATGAAGCGTCGAGGAAAGATTCAGCGTGCCAGTTGACCGTACAGAAAGGACCATCAGAAACAATAGAGTTCCAGCCAAACAAAGTAGGGATGAAAATGAGAAAACCAAATACCCAGATGAAGACAAACTTTCGAAGAAAGCTTTGTTCGTGATGACCCATGTCTTGATTTATGACCGAATGGTAAATTTTCACGCTCATTGACGCTAATGTAAAGATCACCACGGTGCTAGACGCAAAGCAAGTCATTCCAACAACATAGCAAGATGTAGACCCAAGAAACGTCCAACCTTTCTGGATACTTGCTACGAATACCAGAGGGAATTGAAGCAGTAGACACACAAAGTTTGATAGACAGACATTAACGAGATACGGTGTTAGCTCTCTGGACTTATGTTCGTGGTGTAGAAGGACCTTCAGACTTAGAACATGCATTGATACACCAAGAACAAAGAGAACACCAATGCTGATTGAGAAAAATGTAGAAATATTATGATCAAATGCGACTGTGCTGTCTATTCCACTCATTATAAACGAGGTCAAATATAAAAACGTTTTTTTATAACGAGATAAAGTGACAATCCTCGTCCTTGTTGCCTCCTTTAAGAAGAACTCCTCTTAGAAAATCTATAATTGTCAGGTATGCGAGTTAATAGTTTAAAATATTGTAGAAAGTTCCACTAAAGCCTATACTGAGGCGAAACCTTATAATCTTCCCAGTTCAACTAAACCAAAAGTTAGTATCGTTGAACTGAAAGAGTAATTACCGAAAGGATTCCATGGAAGTTAAAAGATCAAGATTTAACGCCTTCGAAGTAACTTCTGTTTTCGCAATGGTTTTAGAACTGAATATCTCTCATACTGACGTTAGTGCCCGTCGTCTATATGAGGCAACGACCAAGATAGTGCGATTTAAATGATTCGATTCGATAAACGTCAAAAGGTTTAGAGCCATCAAGCTGCGTTTTTAGTTAAACTTTTTAAAACGCCTACGGAATAATCTTAATCGGTATCAAAAATCGGCAAATGGAGAGCTCGAAAACCACAGCGAAAGAAAATAAAGCCAAGTTATTTTCTTTATGGCAGTGATCCTAGAATGATAAGCAATCCAAGTACACTAAAGAGCTTTTTATTTTTATTTTTGTAAAAGCTTCTATTTTAAAAAAATCGATTATTTATTTTTACCTATTGTCTTTCGCAGCATTATCATTATATATTATTATAATTTATTTTTCTTTTTATATAAAGAATAAAAATACGGACATAACAATATCGAAGTGAAAGTCACGTAGCCCGTTAAGTGACCATCACTAGAGATGATACGGAGAACATGGCCTGAAAATACGGAAAATAGGGCCCTAAAAACTTGTAAAAATCATCACTGTATTTGAGTTGAGTGTCGCGTGTACGACATAGAACATTGAATGTAGTGATAATGTGTGATTTCGTTACGAATTCCGTACCGACTTTTAAACAACTGACTTTTACTTGATTTGTTGAGTTAGCTTCCTAAATACACGCAAAATATCATTTTTCTAACTTGATTGAAGCTTTTCTGACTGCTATTTGGAGAAACAAATAAAGAAACAAAGTAAATAATTTGGTCAAAAGTTAGTACATTTGTACGCCGGGAATCCAAGATGAATGTCCGACCTTTTTGGTGACCGTAACACGATCCAACACGATTTACACCACGTGACAGCTGAAGCGGTCAGTTAAAGCTAATCGCTGCATTTAAAGTATTTCATGAGCCGTAACTCAATATTATCATTATTGATTTTACATGAAGTGAATAGTTGGATGTTAAAATATTTTTCCATGATTTGAGCGAGCGATGCATCTTGGAGATATCAAGGTTTATACCAAAGGATTAAATATACGAAACTTTTCTTGGGCAGTAACACATCATTGTCTTTCTCAGAGTTTCAGGTTATTGCAATATTCTTTTCTCATAATAATTAGTGTTTCAATTTACAAACGATGGCAAAAAAACTCAAATGCCTCCTATGACATCATACTCATTAACATAATGGAAGTATAAACCTTGATATCTCTAAGACGTGGAAAATGTGTGGATGTGTTAAATCGGTGATTCTTGTTAGTTAGTTAAAAAACCGAATGAAACGATGGATAACCAGTGTGTACACGAAATGCAGTTTCAGGTTGTAGAAAGTGTGTTTGGTCTCCAGTAAATTTCACCCATGGGAATCATTTATTTACTTCCAGTGAATTAATGAGCACGTGATTACTGAGCTGCAAAGGACCAATTCCATACCAACGCATTCCCTTTTAAAAATAAAATCGCAGTAGATTTGATGAATGTAGATCTGATGTGAGTCTGTTCTAAGACATGAAGTATGAATAAAAGATGAAGATTTGATTCACTTCGTGACAGTGAACGGATATACTATGTTTGGAGACAAAACGATGAACACTGGCGGGTTTTCTCTTTGTAATTTGACACCTTTTCGCAGTTTTTAATTAGTTTTCTTTGAAATTAATTCAGTCTCGATGGCCATGCAAACAATTCATAAATCCAGAACTCAAGAACCCTTAATATTAATTTCCGTGAACCATGCTGTCCTTTTTTATTTGTCGTGAATCGTGCAGAGATCGCCAACGAAAGAAACAAAGTATGCAAGAAAAAAGAATAGTAAAACATTCGTAGAGGGTAAAAAATGACGAGTCAAGACAATACGAGTCCTCAGGCCCGTGGAGACGTCTATTAAATATTTTATGTATCAAGTTGCAATCACGTGACACTGTCATTGTAACAATGGTTACGCCCCCTCTCTTCTACGGGTTTCAACAGAATCAATCATATTGTTTTTCCACTATTCGTGATATATAAGCTATCCTTTCTCATATAGAAAACCAATAGCCTGGATTCTACGTGTGAACTTTGTTTCGTTAGTTCCATCGCCTCGCCTTGCTGTCGCACGTTATACATTCACAATAGTTCGATGACTTAAAAAACCAGCATAACCAGTTTCAATACCTATATCCTTTCTTTAGAAGATCCTCGACTTTAGAAACTAATGGTTCTATAAATGGACGGCGCCTGGTCAGATAGCTTGCAAGCGCTGTAATAACTATACTAAGAACTGTGCTTGTATTAATATCGACGCTGGCCGACAGAATGTAAGAGGTTGCCACTCGAAGTGATTCCAAAGCCATGTCAGTTCCATTCAGTGACCAGGGATATTTGGTATACGAGATCATGGTGATCTTAATGCTCCTTATAGGAGTTCCGTCGCAGATGGTCGCATTCTTCGTATTTACCCGAAAAAAATTCCGTCAAATGACTCTGAACAAACTCTTCCTAAACATCGTCATTGCCAACCTCATCATGATCTTTTGTGAATTCCCACTGATTATGGTGTCGGCTTTCTACAAGAAGTGGCTGTTTGGCCGTGTGGGATGCATCGCTACTGGCGCTCAGGTAACAGTAACGAGCATTACCATGATCATTACCCTCGTCTGCATCGAGGCAAAGGTGATGTTCTATATAAACATGTCTGAAGCACACCCCCTCAGCAAGCTCCTCGGCCCGTTGAAGGAAAATGCACTGGTAGTATTAATTTGGACGTATGCTGGTATATGTACCGTCCCGACCGTCTCAGGGTGGAGCGAGATCACACTAGAACCCGGTGAAATCAACTGTGCGCCAAACTGGACGGCTCAAGCTCCTAAAGACGTCGCCTATCTCGCTCTCCTGACAATATTTGCTTATGTTCTTCCTGTAAGCGTCCAGATACGCAGTTTTTGGAAGCTATGGAAGCGTTCGAATCAGCAGCTTGAAAGTATCTCGTCGGCCGCAGTGTTCTTGAGGAATAGAGCAATGTACAGGTAAGAATTTTATTGACAGTGAATTGGGATAAAAATACCCTGAAACAACCTCTGGACTGATCGGCTAAGTCAGGGCATGGCTAACTCACAAATTGAACCCTGAAACAACCTCTGGGTTGATCTATGTCAGGACATGGCTAACTCACAGATCGAACACTGAAGCAACCTCTTGGCTGATCTATGTCAGGACATGGCTAACTCACAGAATGAACCCTGAAACAACCTCTGGGCTGATCTAAGCAGGGCATGGCAACTCACAGATAGAACCCTGAAACAACCTCTGGGCTGGTCTAAGTCAGGGCATGGCTAACTCACAGATTGAACCCTGAAACAACTTCTGGCGCTGACCTATGTCAGGACATGGCCAACTCACGGGTTTTTATAACAAAAAGTTTCGTGAAAACTGTTTTAATCTACAGCTGTTGTTTTGTAGGTCTAAGGGTCGAATGGTAATGGCTTCAACCATCACTTTCACATTACTCTGGCTTCCATACTGTATCTGTAGTCTCATCACATTATCAGGAAAGGCCTACTTGGTCGAAAATGATGCCGCAATTATACCCACCCTGGTGGCAAAATGCAGCTGTATCTTCAGCCCCATCGTGTATGCCGTCACTAGTCGCAGGTAAGGGTGGGGCAATTATCATAATCGTACTATTAGTGTACCCACTGTAGACAAGCAGCTATCAAAAATCAAAATTTTGTATGGATAAAACAGTACATGACATGGCTAGCCCTTTAAACAACACTTGAACACTGACAAGGCCTTACTTAACCTGATTTACAGGGGAAAAATTGTTAATGCTACGGAGACTGATAAGTCCCGTTTAAAGAAGGTAAGACTCGTTTTTATCACTACCTTTCGAGTTGGCCGAAAAGACTAAGCAACTATAAGAATCAATGAAACCAATTTCTCCACGCTATTATCCTTTTAAAGTTAAATTAAATTTTATTGTTATTCCACTACGAATTTTTGGATTATTTCACTTACCAAGTCACAATGAAAAAGAAAAACTCCAATCGCTTTTTTAATGAAATTTTCCTAGTATGCGATTACTAAAAGTTGTCCCATCTTTATATTCTCCTAAGAAAATAAGATGCGCGTAAAAAATGAAACTTATGGCACAGAAACTTTTAGAAAATTAAATTAAACTAAGTATTTCGAAACCTCAATAAAAAGAATGATTGACCAATTATCTTTATGCGTATTCGTTTTACGTCGCATTTCTAACACTACTTTTTTTTCCCCTCTCTATTGTCTTACTTTTAGATTTCGGAGAGAGTTTCAGAGCGTTCTGTTTTGTGAATTGACATCTACAACCAATCAAGGAAGACCAACGTTGCCGAGAAGGGATGATGTTGTCATAGTTACCAAATTTTAAGCACCTGCTTGGAGTAGTAGATTGCGCAAGCGAGATTAGACAGCAGCTTGAGATAATAGCGTGATAAACCGACCCGGCCGATAATCGGGTATCTTGTACTGGTATGATACGTGGTACATAAACCTTATCGGCAATGAAACCCAAAGATTATATATAAACAGCCGCTGCTAGGCTATGATAAGAGAATACTACTCTCTTTCCCGGGGGTGGGGGTGGGGGTGGGGGTGGAGGTAGGGACTAATATAATCCTGGGGTAGGGGGGTGAGGGTAGTATAGTTTAGAGTTGAAAACGTTGACCAACTATTTCTAGGGATACATAAAATGATACCACATATCGATCGATACAGAACTGCAAACCCAACAGTGAATGACAGTTCATATTTAGGCGGCTCCGCCATTTTACGTGGTTGTCCAAGGAAAACGACATCATAAGTTGGATTAACGCTTACTGACTACTTGGTCGCTTGTCTTTTCTCGTATCTTCTTTTACCATTCAGATATCGCATGGCTTCTGCAACACAACAAATAGAACACTTTAGTATGAAGTGGAAGCCTGTAGTACAAGGTACACTTTCTGAACAAACCAATCAATTCACGAGGGAAGCAAATAGTTTAAAATTTCGGTGGGGGGAGGGGGAGGAAGGTGATAGGAAGGAATGGCAGACCCACTTTTGTAGGTATTACTCTACACCCCAGGGGATAATCACCCAGATATCCACCCCAGGGGATAATCACCCAGATATCCACCCCAGGGGATAATCACCCAGATATNCACCCCAGGGGATAATCACCCAGATATCCACCCCAGGGGATAATCACCCAGATATTCACCCCAGGGGATAATCACCAAAATATCTACCCCAGGGGATAATCACCCAGATATCCTCCCCAGGGAATAATCACACAAGGGGATTATTACCTAGGGGGATATTTATCCAAGGGGATGATCATCCCAGGGAATAACCACCCCACCCTAGATATCCACCTAAGGAATGTCCTACGGAATATCCATCCAAGGGGATTACTACCCCAGGGGATATATAACCAAGGGGACAATCACCCCAAGGGATATCCATTCCAGAGGATCTCTGGTTTTCCTACTTCAGTGACTACTAACTACTAGTGATCTGACCAACTCATTAACTTACCAGCGTACGTCCTTGGGGCGATGGAACGAACGTTGTTTTCGCTTTCAAACGTGTAGTAAAAGATGTTAGTGGTTTCACGCTTAAGAGAGAAAAAGTAAGAAGAAAGGCAAATCAGTGGAAGGGATTTGTTAAAGAATGTCAGAACTCAAATAAAAGCTAGCCTCGACATACCTCTCCTGTCGTTGGCTGAATTACATCAGCAACAGTCTGTAAACACGCAAACATAATCGATTATAAGTTGGGATAACATTGAGGCAAAACTAATAGAACAGCCATGCTGGAGGATAATGCATGCTTCTGTCCTCCAATGTCTACATGCGAATCCACATGCGAATTAGAGATTAAACATTTAATCAAATAACGCTGAATTAGCTCTCATGTGTCATTGTGGGAGCCCTGCCCTTCCTAGTTCTAAACCTGGATTCTCATTTGACTGTTCTGGGTTATTGGGCTTCCTATGTTTGTTCCAGAAACACAAGCAGCAAGGCAAGAAAGCGGAACAGTCAAAAGGAGGGGCAGGATAGACCTACCACACCTCCTCCCCCCTAGGTAAGCAATATACTTTATCTTACCATGACTTGAAAACGTTTGGTTGGCTGAAGAGGTGTGTAGACAATCTAAAAGTAAGAAAATTAAATGTGTGAGTAGGCAGAAAGAAAGGTAAAGTGATAGATGAGCGATGCCAGAATGAAACAAGTGGTTGATTTTTATTTGGTTGTGTACTGGTGGGGATAAAATTCTAGCTAGCACGAACCTTTGTAGGCGAGGGGGAAGTGTTGAAGGAGCCTTTTTTTTTATGCCTTCATGTTTTTAAAATTGTGAACTGAATCATAAATACTTTGTTTTTCTTCGTTTTTCTTTCCCTGGATTGCTTCTTGCCATTATTATCTTTACTACTAGCTAGCTGGAACAATTAATTCAGAACGAATATTTAACCGCTTCAGTGATTTTTACCCGTATACCCTTTCAGTCCAGTCGCGTACGCATGAGCCCCTTGATGACAACGTTTTTTGAATTGACTGTATATGACTTAGTACATACAACAGTAACACTAACCCGTGAAGTGAATTCAACGATGGATCCAATCTCTACACTTTTGCGAAACCTGATATCATCCATGGACCTGAAGACTGGTCGATTGCCGCTAAAACATTCACATATTGGGCTTAATTATTAAAAATTATATAGAAAAATAAATCAGTGGTAAACTGTTGAAGGCACACTGATGAAGGGACACTGATGAAGGGACACTGATGAAGGGACACTGATGAAGGGACACTG